GAAGGTTTACAGCACTTGTTTGCAATAACCAAAAAATCAGATCCAATTATGCGCCCACCCACAGTAGAATGGATAAATAAATCTTCATATCGTCACATGGAGTCATATAGTCATAAATTAAAGAAAGGTTGCTGTTTGCAACAACTGGATGACTCGCAAACATAATGTTGAGAGAAGGAAGCCAGACACATGATTCTATTTATCTGAAGTCTGAGATATGCTAAGCTAAGCTCTAAAGGTAAGAGTCAGGTAGAAGATGGGGGGTTAGGGGCAGGGTACAAGGAAGGCCTTTGAAACCCTGGTAACGTTCAGATTACTCACCTGGTTGGTGATTAGCTGGGTGAATTCACTGTAACATCTTAACAAACTGCTCGCTTATTCTGGATGTGTGTTCTACTTAAATATCAAATCATCATATGAAATAGTGACAACAGGCCTCAAACTGTGTGGCGATGATGCCACATTACAGGTCACGCATCGCAGTAGGAGTTCTGAGTTCAGATCCTAGATCTGAAATTGCCCAGCCCCAACCCAGAGAAGACATTTAAACTTCCCACTTTCAGAGGCCCCAACTTCCAGCCTCATGATGGGGTTGTTGCAGGTTTCAAACATAATCTAGTTATCATACTTTAACTCAACATCTGTTATATAGCAAACGTTTAAAAACGTTAGTGAAGTTGAGAGTGTGTGGGCAATAGATTCAGATTGCCTGGGTTAGAATTCTAGCTTTGCCCTTGGAACTGCCTGACCTTGAGAAGTGACTTAACATTTTAGCCTGTTCATCTGTAACATATTTAACACAGAATGATGGTGATAATCACACTCGTTAAGCACACAGAACATGCCATCTTTGTGTTTATAACTATTATAATTGTGATATGGTACTGGAGGTGGGAAGTCTGGCTGGACTGTGAGGTAAGATGGAACCTTAGGTGGCCCCCTAAGGGTGGGTGAAATTTGGGGCATCTCGATTCAAGTGAAATAGGGCTTTCTCTCTGGTTCCCTCCCTTTTCTCACTCCCCATTGCCTAAATGGGATTTCCTGCCAAGATATTCAAACATTCATGTAGTTCAACTCTAATATCCCCTCCCCCCTTTTCAAAGAGGAAACTGCCACTCGGGACCTTCAAGATTCCACATGTGTCTGAGACAGGGTGAGGGAAATCCTGCTCTGCTCCCTAAGCACAAGAATGCCCTGCTCCTGGCCTGTCCAGAAGTTACTGCCACAAGATGCCTGTGGCCCCTTTGGGTGTGAAGGGCATGTAGGCTGCCCCCCCATTGATAGGTGCAGCACCCCCAGCCCTGACAACTCTCAGGTGGGCTGGGCATCCCTCATACAGGTGAAAGGAAAAATTCTAAGGCATCTGAGCCTGGAGGATACATCTCCTTTAGCTGAGAACACTGATCACCACCAGCTTCCCCCACAGACTCCCCTCCTGTTCAACTTTCAGCAGCTACACAGGAGCTAATGGGCCCTTACAGCTTTTAAATCCCACATCCTAATTGTAGTTCAAAGAACCACGTGCAGAATCAAGCATTTTTCTTTTACCACATTTCCTGATCTTTATGAAGAACTAATTAAAACCTTTTTTTCCTGTTGTTGCTTGTCTGACAGTTTTGCCAATTTGCAGTCTGACATGCAGAGCTAATTAGAAGAGAAGGCCGTCAGCAAATCCCGCTGACTGGGGTGCTGAGGCCCAGGCTTGCAGGGGACGTGCCTGAGAAACGTGGTCTATCAAAGCTAAATCAACTTTTCCTATGAAGAGTCAGTAAACATTTACAGCACCTATCCTTGGCCCAGCAAGGTATGAGGCCTGGACAGAGAACATGACCTGCAAAGCTAGGTCACCACCTACTAGGAACATGAACAAATGCATGGAATGTGATGGATGTCACCTCAACCAGCTGTCCAGCTTTTCTAATGGGCAAATTGAGGCACGTTGAAATCAGAGAACTCAATTAAACTCATGTCCCAGCAGCCTTGCGGTGGTATTACCGTCCTTGTTACAAAAACAAGAGCCCAAAGCTCAGAGAGGCCAAGTGAGTGCAGAGGTCTCACAGCCACTGAGAAGAGAGACAGGATTATATTCCATGGTGAAGTTGAAGTCCATCTCTATCTACTGTGAAATACTGAGCAAATTCCAGACCAGAACATGCAAGGTGGGCACCAACTATCATGGCAGGGGTCCCAGCCATAGTTCTGTTCTGAGACATTATCTATAGGTGAGACAGATGCATGCACACATCCATTCAAATAAACAGATATAGAGACACAGACACCAATAGACAGACTACATACATACATGATACACACACACACACACACACACACACACATATATACACAACAGACACACAGACTGTTGTCAGGTGGTGGGGATGGTCCATAGATACTGAAGGAGCTTTTATCTGATGGAAGTCCCCCAAAACTGTGATTGATCAGTGGACCAGAGCACACAAGGTACCAGGTGGAAACACTAATGGAGTGGGACCTTGGTGACACACCTCTGTACAGGAGCCCTGTTTGTAGGTTTTTCTGCTTGTCTGAGTTGGTGTATATCCAACTTGAGATTCAATGGACAAGACACATATCAGGGGAAACGCCTGCGAAGGCTCAAAGGAAGGGACTGGAGGAGGGGAAGGTGGGTAGAGAACTGAGGCCTTTGAAGAAGGAAGGGAAGAGGGTGCTGGTACCATGGTGCACAGGTGGCAGTGGACCCTGAAGGGCAGCTCCTGAGCACATTGGTCCTTATGCTCCCTGCAGCATGAGGGGCACATTTTTGTAGCCATCATCTCCTCTGAAAAAGTTCTGCTGACCCCCACAGGATGTACATTACTGCACCAAAGACAAGTAACTCAACTGGGTGGGTTGTCAACGCTATTTAACATGGAGAAAGGCTGAAAGCATTATGAACACGTGTTCTTTTGAGGAGAGTTTGAGACACTATATAAACTTTCTAGGATGATATGATTCGCACAGAATTGAGCTACCTCAAGACTCTTCTAGACAGGCCACATCACCTGTCCTCATTTTGTTCCAGTTTACCTCACAAAAACCATGTCAGTGGAGATGGAAGAAGGGGACAAGAGAAACAGTATGTCCTATGGCTTGTGGTGAAGTCCTTGTAAATGCAAAAGGGCACATGGGCAGAGTTGGGTTCAAACCCCAGGGTCGGCCCCTGCCCTTTACTTGCTGTGCACACTTGGACACACTCCAAGCTTCCCTGAGCCTCAAGTCACACTGGATACATGACAACTGCTGTACTGCCTTCGAGGGTGGAGTGAGAGAAATGTAAGGTAGCCTTGGAAACTGACTATTCCCTCCTCCGCTGACCCTGCCTCTAGACCCCACCTTCCTGTACAAATGGAATCCAACATATTAGATAATGCTTGTGATTTAATGGGTGATTCAATAGCAATTAAACATAGAGGATGATGTAGTCAAACACCAACCATAACTTCGTGTGTTGAACACCTCTGAGAACACTTGTGTAATCTTGGCTGGAAGTAGAGCTGCATTCAGCAGCAGTGAGAGTACACAAGGGCCCTGACCAGAGCTGAGGTTCTAGGTGGAAGGAAACCATCACCACACTTTATCTGTTTCACAGGACCACTCAACAACACCTTGCCAGTGTCCCTTGCAGCATCAAATTTCTCCTGTTAACTGAATTAGAAAATTCTGCTGTAAATTTCTTTCACATATACGAAATGTGCCTGCATGCATGTGTCTATTTATGTAGGAATTCATATGTGCAAATGAAACAAACATAAACATTTTTCGTATATATGCACCTCTGCGATTCTGTGTATATGCATGCATATGTATATATGTATGTGCGTGTGTATATGTGTTATTTGTGTACATGAGTGTCACACATATGAACTGACCCTAGTTCCTTTACAGTGACCATCCTTCATTATTTTCCACTTGTAACATGTTCCTTCAACAGGCTGTCACTGCCAATCTCCTTGGTCTTCTTCCATTATCACCTGTGGCTCTCTGGCCAGGGTGCATTTCCACCATCAACCACAGCAGAGCTTGGTAGTGGTTTCTTCTTGCCAGAGACAAAGGTCTTTTCTCCTATCTTAGCTGTGACCAGTATTTAGTTGCATGATCTTCCACCCCTCTGAAACACTTTCCTGCCTGGCCTGAAGACACCAGGAGTTGCTGGCTGTCCTCTCCTGCGATTGTTCCTCCTCAGTGTGGCTCTCTGGGAACTCCTGGTCAGACCAGTTATTTTCTCTAGTCTCATCTCCTGAATGAAGTAAATATCCAGCCCAAACTTCTTTTTCTGACCTCCAGAGTCATAGATCCAAATGTCTAGGCAAAACTGCGTCCAGACGTCTAAGCACCCCAAACCCAACACAGTGGAAGTCGGGCAATTTCTCCATCTCTCACTTGGCTGCTTGCGTACATCTGCCCCACCTCTGCTAAAGGCAAGTCCCTACTGAAATATTCTTGATTCTTCTCTTTACATCACACCAATTATATCCAGTTCAGAAGAAAAGCCTTTTACTTCAATTTTCAAAATATATTAAAGTGTCCAGCCGCTTCCCAGTACTCCCTTGCTGGCATTTTGCCCCATCCCCCACTGCTTCACCTGCAGTCTGTGCTGCCTGTCTGCTGCATGTATGCTCACACTTCCTGCCCACCATGTCTCTCTCTCTCTCCCTCCCTCCTCCCTCCCCATCTCCCTGTGTATTTCTCCCTGTGTCTGTGTCCCCTCTGGCCTCCCCACCTCTCCAGTCTGTGTTCAGTGCTCAGGATGGTCCAGGTTGTTTGTGTGTGTCCTCCCCTCTGCTGTGACCTGCCACATGGTCCCACTTCATTCAGAATACAGCTTGAGTCCTTACAACAGCCTGGAAAGGGATCTGAAGTCCACACACAGACACATACTGTTCCCAGCGTCGCGTACCCTAAGCCCTGCTGCCACCCCTAGTCACACACCCACCCTGGGCTCTCCCTTGATGTCCCCTCCCCAGCCCCTCATATCCCCTCACCTTTCAGCTCTCGGCTCAAGGATCATCCCATCAGATGCCTGCTGGGCCACTGTATGGAACACAGTACCTCCCACCATCATTCTCTTTGCTGTACAGCACTTGTCAGAACTTGACAAATGATTTACTGTCTGCTGCTCACAGGATGCCAGCTCTCTGAAAGTAAAGATGCTCCATCTTCCTCATTCATCTGAAAAAGCCTTGCTCTAAAACACTTGTTGAGAGAAAGAAAAAGAAAGAGAGAGGGAGAGGTAGATGTTGCAGAGAATGGTGGTGCAGATCACCCCAGCATTTGCCCACCAGCCCCGAGAAATTAGTCACGAGTCCTAAGTCCTGCCTACACCGCACAGGAAGTAGCTCCCCGGAATGACTGACTCCTGAGGGCTACTGAAGGCAGGAGTGAAGAAATGCATGACAGAAGCAGAGCTGGCCCAGGTCCTTCCAAGACCACACATCCAGGTGCTCACAGCCCAGGCTCAATGAATGCATGATGGATTCCATGGGGCCCAGTCCACAGGCCCCCAAGTACACTGCAGGAACATGGCCACCTCTAACAGGTGTGGCTTAGACAGGAAGGAGAGGAGAGCATCTGACTTCCAACCTCCCCCACACAGTTGGTCTTAGCCTTCCGGGTCAGTGTGGGCTCCATGGGCTAGGCCCAGGTGAGATCTCCCCGCTTGCTTTCCAGTGCACGTGGCAGTGGGGTGGGGCACCACACTCTTTCTGAGATTCCTGGAAATGCTTCGCAGGAGCAGGAGTAAGCACTGGGGCCCTTGTCTCTGCATGCCCTTTTGTGCCAATGGGGTGTCATTTGCTGAAGTGTTTGCAGGAGAAGATGACTTCTTTAGACAGGAAATTGGGATTTCTGCTGGCCATTAGCACCCAAAGAGCTCTAATTTAATTATCAGCTGAACAATAGCTTGAAGGGTGTGCTAGGTTTATCAGTGTGTGCATAACATACATGTATATATAATACACACACACACACACATATATATATATGTCAGATACTTATTGGGAAGTGTGATTGTGTTGGAAATGGATGAATGGGGAGCAGATTTGTGGTGGTGGCTTGCAGCTTCCCAATCCAGAGTCTTCACCAGGAGCTTCTCAAAGCCCCACCAGGAGACGCACTTCGTCATCATTAATTGTGAGCAGTATATTTATGAGTTCAGTTGGCTGTTAACAAGTTGGCCCTGCAGCAATTAATATTTATATTTGCAGCACCCAGTGCTAATAATGGACAGCTAACAGGCTTGGTTAATTGGTTCGCCACCCCCATTCTTTTACTGTATCTTTTCTGACCAGTGGAGGCGTCTTTCCTAGGGAATCCTATAATGGGCTCTTCATGTGTTGGTAAATTTAATTACCTTTTTATTGCTATGCAAATTTCTCTTCCTTTAATCTGCTAGCTAAAAAGAAGAATGCTGCTACTGCCTAACTGACTAGTGAGAGTGGAGACAGAGTGGGGGAGGATGCAGCTGCACAGGCATGGGCCAGCAGCACAGGTGTGCAGGGGCAGTGGCCAGCTCCAGTCACTGGGGAAGGAGGGCTGTCCACTGGTGAATTGTTCAGAGGCAGCCACGGGGAGACCAGCTCCTTGGGGAGCATGGAGGCAGGAAGAGCAGGCCACTGGCCTTTGGGGGAGAAAGGGCACTAAAGTGAGAATCTGCCCACATTGGTTCATTCAGGTCTCCAGAGATGGCATCCAGGAGAGGAAACAGGCTAGGAGAAGGAATGTGACAGAATGCAGCCAGGGCATAGCCAGGGATTTATATTGCACAAGGCAGGAGCCATGGGACAACTCTTGCACGCCCCTGCTGCCTCTGGCCCCTGATCTAAGAGGAAGGGCCTCCTTAGTCTGAGAGCTGCTTCTCAGGACATGTAGACAGCACAGAGGAGGGAAGGACCACCTCTCCCTTCACTACCTTTCCCCCCCAGCCTGGGGTCTCTGTACCATACTGGAGGTGCCTGAGTATCCCTCAGGCCAGGACCCTGCCTGCATAGCCCAGGTGGAGTGCCAGGTCCCAGCCCGAGCCAGGTGGGGCTTTGGCGAGGAATCAATGGGCTTGTCAGGTTTCCCCTCATTCTGGCCCCATCTTTTCCATCATTTTGGAACATTCCTGTTGCTAATGTGATAGCACTTCCCAGCCGGTCAGCACAGCAGGGAGAGGTGGTCTTGGCACCCAGGTGTCTCTACCTGTAAGACTGCAAGGGAACTCCATGAAGCCCCCAGGACACTGGAGAGCAAGAGCTGTCCACTTCTCTGTGGCTGTTCTGGGAAGGCCCTAGACTTGCAGAAAATTGATGGGATTTTAAGGGTGGGTTCTGAGGATAAGACAGAACTAGAAGGCTCCACTTGGCCAAGTGGGAAGGGCTGGGCTCAAGGCTGGAGCTGCATAGCCCAGGTCTTACCTGTGCCCCTGCTCCTGAGCCTGCAAGGTATGAAACTCAGAAGCTGCATCATTCCCTCTACCCCATTCCTATTTAAGGTGGTCACACCAAGGGACGAGTTCATGTGTTAGAGCACCATTGTTTAATGACTGAAGACATGATAATTTTAACGTACATTAAGAAACATAACAATTACATCAAACTTATGACTCATGAACCTCACAGATGTCCACAACTTACCAGGCCTGGCCTGCACTCGCTTTTCGTGGCTGCTCCAATTGGGGGCCCTTGCAGCTGCCACTGTCCCCCATCAGGGAGGCAGCTATGCACCCCCATTCCCTGAGAAGTCCTACCTGTTTCTTCTTTTGCACCCACGTGGATTAAAGTATCTTTACACATACACTTGATTTAAAGAAAACTTATGAATAAATCTAAATAAATATAAGGTGATACAGCAAACCTCAGTGAGACGAAATTAATTCAGGTTTAAGAAGTTCAGACTTGAACGGGAGAAACCAGGGGCAGGAATTCGAGCACATGTGCGGGTGTGTGCCTGGGTGTGCCCCTTGCCCTGGGTCCTCAGGCCTTGAGACTTGGACCACCACCCCCGCACAGAGGGAAGCTTTGCTGAGAGGTGTTACACACGCCCTCCCATCCCATAAATCAATTAGCTCCTACAACTGGGTAAACTGTGAGGAAACATTCAATAACTCCCCCTAAATGTTCCATCCGGGCCCCTCAACGGCTCATTAGGTTATATGAGGTGTGGGTAATTACCCGGAGACAGTGTGCTCACTCCCTGCGCCGGTTAATTTCCTCTCCTCAGTTCCCAGCTTCCTTATGGCAAGAAAGATGCTCAGGCCATGGCCACACATGGGTCCGAGTGTGTGCAAGTGCAAGCACACTAGTGTACCTGGGTATGGGCAACCTTACCAGTACCCAGTTCTGTGTGTTCTGCTCACACGAACAAAGGAAACCCAGCTGGAGCAGGACTTGCGCCCCCCCCACCCCCGCCAAACCTTCTGTCTTACAGGAGCCCCAGTTCATTTTCCTCTCTGCAGCCAGGATGAAGGAGCAGCTGCTGGTGCCTCTACTGCAGGCATGAGGGTGGGACAAGAGAAGACAGCAGAGGAGTCCTGCATGCTGGTGAGCACCCATGGGTTGTCAAAAGGTGAAATGAGTCAGTCTTCCTGGAGCACAGTCTGTGTGGTTACGCTGGCCACTGTCACCACTGCAGTCATGGCCAGATGGTGCACTGTGCCTCTTCCAGAGGAGGCTGGTCTCTGAGACATGGCAGCTGAGAGTAACAGTCACAGCTCTCCCTGTCCACTTGCTCACTTAGCCATGCCAGAGTTGATGGGAGCTACATCCTCACTTACAGTAGCAGATCCTGCCACACGGCCTAGGCTCCCAGGTCCAGCGCCCTGCGCCCGGGTCACTGGTGTTCCAAAACTAACCTTGAATAAAGACAGGAGAGGAAAAGCTTTGTGCTTTCATTTACCTGGGATAAAAGGGGAGCTCAGGACACCCAGATAGGTTGCCCAGTGTGCCAGAACCCCAGGCCTTCAAAGTGAGTGCCACTCCCAGGCTGACCAGCACATCAAAGCTCTGATCCTTCCATGTGGCCCTGTTCCTCCCACCTCCTACCTGGGGCCTCCCATCTTCTCCAGGATCCCCAAGAGTTTGGGGGCTCCTTCCCCAAACCGGGGGTGCCTGTGGGTACAAAAGAAACAGGTAGAACTTACTCAGAGAGAGGAAGACACAGTCAGGATTTCTCTATCCATGATGTCTATTTATTTCATGGTGGCTTCCCTGCTGCCCAAGGAAGAGGTTTTGTGCCCCAGGAAGGAGGGTCTGAGCAGGTTGGTCAGAGTAAGGCAGCCCCTCTCTGAGATATGAAGCCTTCATTTCTCCCCAACATGTCAGAGAGTAATTTTGGGCTGTAGGTCCCTTCTCCAAAACAAGGAACTGTTAGACAGTTGCAGGGGTGAGGAGATTCTAAAGTAAGAGACAAGAGGCTCATGGCTGTCACCAGCTCACTGAGAGAACTGTCAGTGTGGTTGCTTACTACTCACCTGGGCATCTCCATGGAGGTTCTGCCCCAGGAGCTGGGGATTCTGAGAGGAAACAGCAGCTGGAGACAGACAGCTTCCAGTTGGTACTAGTGAGCCTGGACAGAAGTCAAAGGTGGCCAGGGTAGGGTTCTCTGAAAGTGAAGGTGACAAATTACCAGGGGCTGAGATGAGGGTCACAGGGGCTAAGTGGCAAGAGGACACCTTCAAGAAGCTTAAGGGCTGTAAAGAGCCAGGCCTTGACTCCTGGCCAATGACCATGGTGCATTCAAGCCCTAGACGGCGAGGAGTGGGGGTAGGAAGGAGGATGGGGCTATCCTGGTCTGAAGACTGTGAAATCTCAGAATCCCAGCCTTGTGACACCAACCAGCTGAGTTGCTCTTTCTGGAACTCCCTCAGGAGGGGACAGTTACCTGCTGCCAGTTGTCATGTTGTCAGACACCCTGATGGCAAGAGGCCTCCTGGTGGCTCAAACAGCCTGAAGCTGGCTCCCAGAGGTGACACACGTTGTCACTAGCTCTGTTTTCTGGGAATTCCTTGGACATAATCCTGGGCCCTGAGTCCTGGGATCCCCAAGATAATCACTCTGAGGGGCAGAGCCAAGTCTACTAAACTGGCCCATGACAGCTGATGGAGGAACTTGAGGGCCAGGTCCCCACACCTGGTGTGAGAGGACAGATGGGTGGTGGTCAAGATGAGTTCATACTGGCTAGGGTGGCCCAAATCTAATGCCTGGTATTCTCATTAGGAAAAGGGAAGGGACAGAAACATGGGAGAAGCTTTCACAGGGACAGAGCCTGGAGTGATGGGCCAAGGACTGCCAAGGACTGCCTTCACACTGGAGCTCAGAAAGGCCCAGAACAGACTCTCCAGAGCATCCAGGAGGATCCACCCCACTCCCACCTTTGATTTCCAGCCCCAAGAGTGGGTAAATCTCTGTTATTAGTGCCCCTCCCATCTGCCACCCAGGAGGCCTTGCAGGAGACAAGAGGGCAAAGCAGAGTTTGCAGCTCCCTCTGGCTACAAGGTCAGGTGAAGTGTCCAGGCATCCTTGAGGTGAAAGAATGGTTTGGGACCTAGAGGAACCACTTTGGTGACTCAGATCTGACCTGCTCCAAGGCTGGCAACACACATGTGCCATATTTGGGAGTATCTGCACAGTGGGGAGCCTGCTATGGGGGAAAGGCAGGCTCAGGCCCCAGGCTGAGCACAGGTTCCCAGTGCTCTGGATTCAGAGAAGGGGGAGGGGGCTGGGATAGGGACGTTGAAGGGCTGTGGCTCCCAGAGGCTTTAGGGCTCCAGAGGAAGGCAGCCTGTCTTGTGTCATCCAGCCTGGATGCCGCAGGCCTGGGCCAAGGATCAGGCCTGTAGTCACATAGATCCCCTCCCAGGCTCACTCAAGGACAGACACCCAGGGAGGTGGTCTTAGCTTCCCCACCCATGGCTCAGGATCCCACCAAACTTTTCCAGAAGGGTCCAGGGCAAGTGCCCTTCTGGAAATGTCTCTCCCCTGAACCCTCCCACCACTGCCTGTCTTCAGCATGTCCCCATGGCCGCCAGCTGGCTGTGGTAATTAGTGGTTGTCTTCCTTGGGCAGCCAATAGTCTCAGTCATTTCTCAGGAAGCTCCCACATCCTTTCTTCATCAGCCACCCATTCACTAAGCCAAAACATCAGCCAGTGGTGAGACAAAGGACATAAAAGGGCAGCTCGCAGCTCCGGCTCTGGACTCACAGCTGAAAGACACTTTAAGAGGCCATCTGGTCAACCTACTTCCCTAGGCACAGACTGGTTTGCATAAAACTGGGTCTTGCAGTAGAGGAGGGCATTGGAGCATCCAGGGCAGATTCTCCCCAGTTCTATGGATCCCAGTGAGGCAGAATTGAATACTCCCAGGGTTTAGGGAGCTCACTTCTTATAAGGGAGCCATTTCACTTTGAACCACCTTCCCTGAACTGCTTTAGCCACCATGACTTCAACCCAGTAGTCCCATTCCTATCCTAGCATTTGTGACCACAGAAAGCAGGTTTACTACATCTTCTCATCAACCCCTCTAGGAAATGCTGATGCTGCTTTGGAGGTGTGCGTGTGAGTGTCTATTCCTCAATCCATGGGCACATTTGCTCACATCCAATCAGCTCTGAGCCCAGGTGTACCTTACAATTGAGGTCTCTACGGTATCATTTGCAGTCCACTTTTCTTTCTAGAACTAGCTAAAATAAGTGCATTTTAAAATTTGCAGTGTCTGAGAACTCAGTGGACACTTGACTTACAAACTCAATTCATTCATGAGGGCTGGTTGTAACTCAAGTTGGTGAATTGAAGGCTCAGGCTCCTCTACACAACCTTCAAAGTCTCTCTCCTGTATACAGATAGATCTCCGTATCCTTAGAGAAACTATTAGCCCCACACAGGAAAGGATGCTGTAATGTTCCTTCCAGAACTATTTAAGGTTAAATCTGTATCTGAGACCATCTGGAAGCACTAGCAGCCAACATTTGGGTCATAACTCAAGACATTGGTCATAAGTTAAAACTAAAATTCCAGTCATAACCCAAGTTGTTTATATGTCAGGCCGGTCGTAACTCAAGGGTCTATTGTTGATGAAGTACAGCCTGTGAATTTATTGGATTGCTTTCCCCAAGGTTGAGGCTGTGCCGAAGGTCACATAGCTAAGAAGTCAGATACTCAGGCCTTGAGCTCCAGCCCTGCGCCTGCAAAGCCTGTGCACCCTCATCCGCTCACTGTGGGCTGCCAGGCTACCCCTAGACTGGCGTAGGACGCTATTCCACCCAGTCCCAGCCAGAAGCCAACTATTGAGGACCCCAGCAGCTCCCTTGGTCCTCAGCCCCAAGTTCTTTGGAAGCAGTGTCCAACCAAGAGAGGTCCTAAGATTTTCCTGAGGGCCCTGATGTGCCTCTGTCATTTACTGCGGAGGAATAATTGAGTTCCGCGCATCCTTTTCCAGTGTCTATCATTATTACTTGGTTGTCACTAGCCACTTCCCTGGTCCCACCTACAGAGTTAAAGGTGGTGCCTGAGCACCTGGTGACTCCCACAAAGCACCTTCAGGGAAACATTTCTTGTCATCTCACAGCACCCCTCGGAGTCCAGCATCAGGGCAGGACTGCCATTCCTGTTTGTCACAAAAGAAAGGCCAAGGCTGCAGTGATGGCAGGGGCCTCCTGCAGTCCTGTCACATTGACCACTTCACAATGCTGGCATTTGTGAGACCTGTCTACAGCGAGCCACAGTCTTCCTCAGCAGGTGGTATCAAGCATCCTGCCTGAAGGAGGGTAGCCGTGAAGGCATCTATGGCAAGCAGGAGGGAGCATCACACACCTTTCTTTGCTGATGCTAAGGCCTGGAGAGCTGTAGGACTCATCCAAGGTCACAGCTCAAGGTCATACCTTCTTACAGTCTGCAGACAGAGAAAGAACCAAAGTGGTTCTGGATGTGAGGGAGATAGTCCCCTATCTCGAGCCTGAGCACACTCTTGACTTGTAGGGTAGAGGTCGCCTCGACTGTTTCAGCTTTCATGAGCTCATGATGCTCGTGGCCATGAACTCCTCACCCTAACTTAGTACATGCAGAAGAGACACAGGGGCCGGAATCCCACTGATCTTGGCTTAATGACCACATTGAGCAAGTCATGAGAACATTTTGACCCCACACATAGCATCTGTGTATGAAGATTCAGTGGCCTGCAACAAGTCATAGCCCCCTTGCTTAGCACAATTATCAGGGCATAGCACAGGATAACTGGAAGCCACTCCTGTGCCTTCCAGCAGCAAGACAACAGGTGCTATGCTGGCACAGCCTCCATTCAGGATGTCTGTTCCATGGCACTCCATAGCTCCAGAGTCCTCACAGGTCAGAGCCACAGACCCCACAGAAACTCCATGGTCTTCCCTACCCTGAACTCAACCACTGCCTTTTAGTCTCACCTGGTCCATGCCTCCCAAAGCCATTGAGCAAAAGCCACAAGTTTCTGTTCCCATCTAGACTTTGTTTCCTCTCAGGGTTTGTGCTTCTGGCCACTCCTGGTCTGCATGGGAATGCAGCTCCAGCACCTGTAAGAGTTTCCCTCGTTGTTATTCTGTCCCTGAAGGACGGGGTGTGAACAGATGAAAACAGGGCCCCCTTATGACACAAGGGGCTGGAGGACACAGAAGAAGGCTTGAGAGATCTGGCTCCACACACTGAGGAAGACAGAGGAGGCAACCCTTTGCCTAGTAGCCAGCGAGCCTCACACTCAGAGAAACAGGCGTATTTGTTAACAATGAAAGCAGGACTCAGTGGTGTCATCACGGGATGCCAAAACCTAGAAATAAAACCTCCTCTCTCATGTCTTGTGAGGCACACTCAACAGCACATTTGCACTAGGGTGGAGAGGCCTAGCAATGAGGTGACAGACAGCATGCAGAGTGCTGGCTGCCCTGACCAGCCTCTTCCTTCCCCCTCCTTCATTGCTCCTGGTACCACAGCTATGGAGCTCAATAGATGGCTGGAAATGTGGAATCCTCATCACTCTTTGCTAGCTGGGCCATTAAGCAAGGCTCTGAGGAGGTACTATGTCCAAGGACCTGGGTGCTGGGGGTTTCTGGCAGCAACAGGGCTGCCTAGGAAGTACTCCTGGAGAGGGTGGAGCAAGTCTGATGGAGCACCCAGAGAACTCAAAGCCCACCTGATCATAGCACAGTGCATACAGTGAAGACCCCAGTGCACACAGAAGAGGTCCAAGAGGATTCATGTGAGGCCCTGAGTGGAGGCAGGCCAGGCCTCAAGGAGGGCGCTGGAGAGCAGGAAAGGGAGGGATCATAGGAATCACTGGAGGGTTCTGCACTAGGCACCAGGATAAGGGACTAGAACCTCTGAGAGTGGTTTCAGACATAAGTCTCAGGAAATCTCCCCTCCAGTAAGGCAGAATGAGGTGACTGAGGTGGACAGAGTATTTGTTGAGGAAATACTCTGTGTTGTATGCCTGTTGGCTGTGTCCTGGAACAAAGGCATCCCTCACAGGGCTCAGCATCTTCCTTTTGCCTTGTGGAATGACCCCCAGGAGCAGAGCTGAGGGAGGGGGTAGGTTTGTCCTGGTGGGCTGAGAGACCAGGCCAGGCAGGGGAGAATCTATC